ATCATCTAGATCCATATCTTTCATGTCAAAATATTTTGATAACATTTTCTTAGTTTTCACGATTACATTGTGATTATTGCCCATAATTAATGTGTCATCCACATAGAGACGTATAAGCACAAATTCGTTGGGTGTGTTTTTAATGTATACACATTTATCACACTCATTTATTTTAAAACCATTTGATACTATTGTTTTATTGAATTTTCATGTCATTGCTTGGGAGCTTGTTTTAGTCCATAAAGCGACTTAACAAGTTTAGATACTTTTGACTAATGTCCATGAACAGGTTGTTCCATGTATATCTTTCTTCTAATTCACCATTTAAAGAAGTTGTCTTAACATCCATTTGATGAATTTCTAGATTTTGCAAAGCAACAATTGCTAGTACTCTAATTGATGTGATTCTCGTTAGGGTGAATAAGTATGGAAGAAATTTAGATCTTCCTTTTGTCTAAACCCTTTGATTACTAATCTTGCTTTGTATTTATCAATCGAGCCATCGGCTTTGTACTTTCTTTTGAGAATCCACTTACAGCCTAATGGCTTATTTCCCGGAGGGAGATCAACAAATTCCCATGTATGGTTTTGCATAATCGAATCAATTTCACTATTGATTGCTTCTTTCCAGAGCGGCACTTCGGAAGTGGAAAAAACTTATTTTATTATCATTGAGTCTTTTTCCACGTATAAGTTAGGAATTACGGACCAAAGGACTTAGCACTTTTTGCCCTAGTACTTCGTCTAGGTTCATCATCACCCTGAAGACCACCATTTGCCGTTTTATATGTTCTTTTGTTAGAACTAGTTGCGGAATTTTCTTTATAGGGAAATATATCCTCCAAGAATACAACATTTGTTGATTCAATAATTGTGCCCTCATTCATATCAAGAACATCAGACTTGTGTATTTAAAATCGATATGCACTACTGTTGTTTGCGTAACCGATAAAAATATTGTCAATAGTATTAGGCCCAATTTTAATATATTTTGGTTTAGGTACTTCTACCTTAGCCAAACACCCCCACACCTTTAAGTATTTATAGGAAGGCTTGTGACCTTTCGATAATTCATAAGGGGTTTCTTTCTTATCTCGATGCGGAATTTTTTTAAGGATATGATTAGCTGACATGAGTGCTTCCCTCCACAAATTGTGAGGTAAACCCGAATTCATTAAAATTGCATTCATCATTTCCTTAAGATTCCGATTCTTGCGTTCAGCAACACCGTTTGATTGAGATCGGTAAGGTGCCGTAGTTTGATGAGTAATGCTTGTTTGAGAACAAAACTCATCAATTGGAGCACCATATTCTCCTTCTCTATCACTTCAAATCATTTTGATTTTTTTCACAAGTAGATTTTCCACCTCAACTTTATAGCTTTTGAAAGCTCCCAAGGCCTCGTCTTTGCTCCTTAGTAAAAATACATAACAATATTTAGAGCAATCGTCAATAAATGTAATTAAATATTTCTTTCGTCCTCTAATTTGCACAAATTTTAAGTCACAAGTAGCACTGTGAATTAAATCTAGAGATTCAGTTATTCTTTCAACAGACGAAAATGATAACTTAGTCATTTTTGCTTCTACACAAGTTTCACATTTTCTTTGAGAATCAAATTTAAGATAAGGTAGTAGTTTTAAGTCTACTAACTTCTTCAGTGTTTTAATTCATATGTCCCATTCTTACATGCCATAATTTAGAACACTCTATCAAGTACATAGAAGTAGTAATTTTATTATCATCAAGCTTTGAACAAGCGTCATCACATTCATCTTAACAAGGCCGTTATCAACATAGCCTTTCCTTATAAAAAGACCATTCTTGGTGAGAATTAATATCTCTGTTTCAAGAACTAACTTAAAACCAGCCTTAGTGAGAATCGTTCTGGATATCAAATTCTTACGGATGTCCGGAACGTGCAGATGATTTACCGAAGTAAGATATTTCCCGGAGGTGAGCTTCAAAACAAATTCTCCTATGCCTACAATGTCCGAGGTTGCATAATTTCCCATGAACACCTTTTGGCCATTGATTGGAGTGTAGGAGGAGAATGATTATTTGTTGGAGCATATGTGACAGGATGCACCCGTACCGAGCCACCATTCCTTGGGGTTGTCCACCAAGTTAGCTTAAAAAACCACGGCACAAAGGTTGAGTTCGGACATGTCAATAAGGACACTCTTGTCTTCAACTATGTTAGCTTGCCTTTTTTTTTTTTACGACAACCCTTTCCCATATGATTTGGCTTGCCGCAATTGTGGCATGTTCCATTGAACTTGACCTTTTTCGGCTTCCATTTGCCTTCGCCATTATTGATTCCACTTCCACCGCCACTAGCACTTCCTTGAACCTTGCTTTTCTTTTTAACCTGCATGTTTGGTTCCATAATACAGTTAAACAACTATAAATTAATACAGTTGGGACTATCAAAATTTCATTAATTTAGCGAAATATTAACTTATCGATAAACTAATAATTATTAATTTATAAATTAATTAATAATTTATTAATTTATGAAATTATTTTTATTATTATTTTCAATAAATGCATTTATTTTTAATTTCTTACGTGTATATTATTCATTGTACCATTAGTTCAATGCACTATAGAACCCGTTTCACGAACGGAAGCTCTTAAAGAAACGATGGTATTGAACAATTTCATGTTGAGTTATACGAAAATTATACCAGAAGTTCTAACTGTGTTAAGAAAAGTGAGGCACGAGATTGATGGTAATGTGAACTTCAAGAAGAAACAAACGGCAATAAAATTCTATTTTATTAAACCTTCATAAATCTATAAAATATGTATTGTACCATGTAATTTAAGAATTATTTTTATGAATAATTAATTTATATAATATATGGGGCTTCTTAAAATTTTTGAATGTGTAATATCTTATAAATTTAGTGAATTATTAATTTAGCACGTTGTCCCCGAGTCGGGACCGGGAAAATTTATTATTTAAGCGAGGTTATCAATTTATCGTGTATTAATTTATCGAGGTTCTACTGTATGTGTTTTAGCCCCTATTTGGTGCTTGCCGGTCTTTAATTGTGTCTTTCGATTGTCTTCTTCGATCCGTAACCTAACAAAAGATCTTCAAGCCCCATTTCTTTACTTTTGTGCTTGAGATAGTTCTTAAAATCCTTCCAAAGGCGGTGGTAACTTCTCGATCATTGCAGCGACTTGGAAGGATTCACACAACATCATTCCTTCGGCATGAATATCCTCGGTCGTAAAGGTTTTTTGTGGC